TATTTTTAATTGGCATTGATAGTAAAGTGCTAATTTTGAAAGAATAATGTGATTGAAATATTATATACTTGAATAAAATTTTAATAATTACCAATTTTCTAAATCGATTTTGCAACTTTATTATTCTCATTTTCAGAATTGACTACAGCTTGTAATATTTACCGTCATCCGGCATGTTCTATTTTTCCGGTCAATTTTTGTAGGGTTTGTTTGTTGGGATTCTGTTTGCAGGATTTTGACCCAAACCTACATAAATGCCGTCGAAAAAATTATTGAAGGTTATTAAGATCATGTAACAAATTCTGACTTATTTTTAATATTAAAACCTCGGAAGTAATATGAACCTTTCTGCAATTATCTTTTGTATGGTGCACTAGGTCACTTATCATCAAATTTGGGGTATACATACAGATCAAAGTATTTTTTTTATATTAACGCCAGATTTGGCTTAAATAGGTTGAGATTAATGTTGTTAATTATAACATATAGTTAGTCAAAACTACGTAATATAAATAATACATAAATTGCAGAACTGATGAATATTATACGTACTATACTATTAAATATCAGTCATACAAAATGTATGTAATCCAGTTTTCATTCTTGAAATCAAAAACTGGTAAATATGTAAACCATGTAATTTCTCATTACCAAAACCGGAATTGAATAGTAGTTTTATATTAGCGTTAGATTGGTGGCTTAAATACAGTACTGTCGGAATTACAATAATAACTTAAAAACTGGTTCATATTATATAAATTCATTTGATATCGATATTGTATAATTCAAAAGAGATAATCTCTTAGTCAATTGTCATGACCTGTTCGAATTTTCGATCTTTTTTTGAGCATCACGCAAATAAATAAAATTTCATGCAATTTCTATAAGAAAAGATTGTTAGATTAAAAAAGCCACATGATAATCAGTACAAGATATAATAGTATAATTATGATTAGACTCTATTTTATTGAAACATGCGATTCTGAAGCCTGAAAAGTTTACTTTACATGATTTATGAAGTAAAATATCAAATATGATTGTATTAGACATCGAAACATAAATTAAAAATTTATCTTACAAATCTATTGACTGACCCCTTAATGCAGCGCTTCTCTTAATTATCTTGACAAAGTAAAACTTTATGCGACATTGTCGAAATAGATTATTGACACGCTTGAGTTATTTTATTTTAATATCATCACATAAATCAATCAATATCAGATATTACTGAAACACGCCAGAAAATTCTTGAAGTATAAAAAAGCTACGTGATATATATAGTACAGTATATCTATACCAACATGATCATGACATTGTATAATTCAAAAGAGATAATCTTAGTCAATTGACAGAATTTTCGGTCTTTTTTTAGTGCATTGCTGCAAACAAAATAAAATTTCACGCAATTCTAACAGAAGATTGTTAGCATTAAAAAGCCACATAATTATACTAATCCGTATCAGACATAATCAGTAACAGATATACTATAATTAAAACATGCAATTGTAAAACCTGAAAAGTTTATCCTACATGAGATTCAGTTAAAATTATCAAGTCTATTGACTGACCCCTTATTTAGTTCATTCATTGAATTCCTTCCGCTTTAAGAAATGTAATTCACGCGTTTTATATGATTTATTATTGGAATTTTTTTTTAAAAAAAATACATAAATCAGAAAACCCACGATTTTTCCTTAAAACAAAGACTTCAATCGTCGTAAATTAATTAATTACATTATGACTCCTCAATGGTGGCATTTCTACGTTGATGGTTGTACTAGCAGTCCATGTTTAGACTACTGCATTAGATATGGAATACAATTAACTGACAAACAAAATCAAAAAATAACTTGCTGCGAACAGAATAGACAAATAGCTTGCTGTTACTCGTGGGAAAATATTACAGATTACTACCTACCTGTTTTAAGAAATTCTCAAATCGAGGAAATTAATACTCAGGCTATGAATTTCCAATCCAACAGTCAAAACTTTCAACAGATTGAGAATCAACTTATCCAGCATAATAGTTCCAATATCTATAATCAAAACTCTCAACAAAACAATTTACAAAATGAATACTCACAACAAATTGTTTCCCAAAATCAAGCACTAATTACGATGATGCAAAACTTATCTAATAATACTTCTACTATTCAAGATACTCTTCAAACTATGCTTCATTCTCAAAATACACTTCAGTGTCATAACAACGATACTATTACTCTTCAAACCAATTCTCAGTCCCCAACTAGTGGTATTAACAATTCTCAAAATACATTTCAGCCTTCGGATTCCCCGATCAATACAACTCTTACTCAAAGTCAAGATTCAATCCATCAAATCAATCTTTGCGATTCTTGCAAGAGGAGAAATTTTCCTGATCAAGATCTATCTTTGAGCAACAACCAAATTAATATCTGTGATTCTTGCGTGAAGAGCAATTTTCCTATTCAACCAAATTTATCTGTTTCTCAAATTAATAACCAGATAATTTCCCATAATTTCACTAATCAAAATTTAACTTCTAATCAAAAAACAACTATGGATCAAAATATTTCAAATTGCACCAACAATGTAAATATCAACTCTTCCTTGTGGAAACTTGGATATATTATCATCTTTGGTCTTACCATTTTAGTATTAGGAATTTTTTTTTAATTATCAAACAATTATCAGTCGTATCTGCATACGAACAAATCGAAGCATTGTTCTTTACTATAAAAATAGATTTAGGTCAATTCGTTAAAATCTTGGGCCTTACTATACTTGGTGGTATCGTGAATTGGATCATGAAACAAAGAAATGGTATAAAAAATTAATAATATCTTTTTCATATGGACGTAGTTAAATAGCATACATTTTTAGTAGCACATTTTGATTTCTCTTTTTTTTTTGATTTCAGTCAAACCTAACTCTTTTAATTAGATTTTGTTCATTTCATGTCCTTTTATTAGGAATGATTTTTTTTACATAGCGATTTTATAATTAGCTTTTTAAATAATAAAAACTATGTTTATGAAATTTGTCACATTATCGCAATAAAATGTCGCGCACTATTTCATAATGAATTCTGAGCTTTTAAGATGCGAAATTATGTCATAATTATGTACTGTATATTAACAAGTGGCATGCAAATTATAATAACTTTTATTGACATTAAGTAAAAAAATTATGAAAATTATTGTTCCTAGGAATATTAATTTTTTTGTGAAAATAATAGAGCAGTAGCAAAATAAAAAATGTTGACATTTTTAACAAATAGTAAGTAAATTTTTCTAGATTACTAAGTTTATAAAATTGCCCTTTATTAATAAGAAATTCTATTACAATTAGCATCATCTATTTTCCATCTTTGTATAGTAAATTAATACCATAAGAAAAATTTCACAATTTTAGCATCTTCGATTACTTCTCGTTCATTCGCATAATAATTCGCATAACATGATCGTACTTAAATAAAATAAAAAATTGTGTTTATTTTTCATAAGTTTGGCAATTACTAATTATAAAAAATTTAAATACTCATTCTTCCATTTACGTATATTGTAAAAATAAGCAATAATTTATATATATTAGTATATTTATATATTCGTTATATGTTTTAGGCTGTTATTTGTTTTCAGCCAAAATTAAATTAATTTGGGTCACCCATCTAACACGTTATATATAAATACTATATTCGAAAGATAACATAAACAGATGGTGTTTATTCTTTCCATGTACAAAGAAGTGTATATTATGCAATTGGTTCTTTTCTTCTCCCTGTTGAAAATTTTCCAAAATACTTACAATTATATGTATATAATACAGAACATGAGACTAATAATCAATTACAAATAATGCCTAATTTTTTGCAGAGATACTATTAAATTAATAAAATATATTATTAATAAAGTTAATCATTTTGTAGATACTATTAAATTAATAAAATATATTCTTAATAAAGTTAATCATTTTGTTGCTAATTTTCGATACCTTTCTACACTTGAAAATATAGTTAATTATAAATTAATTATAAAGCTAACCATGGAATAGATCAACAAACATATAATGTATTTACTGTATCACAAGTAGCTACTATTTTGACTGAAGATAGCAACACATATGAGTTTCAAAAACAAAATGTAATAATTTATCCTTATTCTAGAAATCTCCAATTTATATCCAAAATTAGTAGCTTATATGATCCTATGCAGTATCTCATTTTATTTTCCAAAGGACAATATAGATAGTATTCTGGTATTCTATGAATATAAATAGTGAACTGCAATTTGATAAATCACATAGATTTAACTCAAAAAGAGTAATAGCAAGACAATATTATGCATACCAATTGGAGATGCAAGAAAAATCCTCTTCTTTAATTCCCTTAGATAGCTGACTTTTTCAACAATATGTAGCAGATAACTATGTAAAAATTGAAACAGAAAGGCTAAACTACTTACGCTTCAACTAAACTAAAATTAGAAGTGATCTCTATTCAGATCTTGAAAATTCATTTAACTGTGGTAATATTGATGCTATAAATATTGAAAAATGAATAGTTCTTCTCTCTTCATTTATTGGAGGGCCTTGAGATATATTTTAATGCTATCAAGATGCTATAGCATTAGTACCTGTATTTGGAAAATTAGACTTATTTATTACTATGATCTATAAACCCAAATGGCCAGAAATTTCCGAAAATCTTTTACCTGGACAAAAGGCTACAGATCGACCGAATTTAACAGGTTACTTATTACTTTTGTCTCTAATTATCCTGCTTTTCAAATTACTTTAATCAACTTGCTATAAGAAATTTGTAAATCAGAATTTTATTAAATAAATTTATAATTACCAAAATTCTGATACTCTTAATAATACTTTAATATTTTAGCTATTCAAAATTCATTATTTGGTTAATATTTCCTCTTATTCTATTAAAGTCTTCTTTTAAAAATAAAATAAAAGTGGTGTAAACTGAATAATTAACTTTAAATAACTTTAAACCTTTTTAAAAGAAAAAATTTAAATAGTGCACCGGTACACTGAGTGCATCCCTGTTTTATAATAGCAAATAGGCAAAATGAGCATCTAATATTAGGATAAAGTTAAGACCTAGTGTTAGGGTTAGGTTAGAGTTAAGGTTAGAGTTAGGTTTAGTTTTAGATTAAAATTGCAAGAGGAGCATTTTACTTAGTTACACAACAGAGGTTCTCTTAGTAAAATTTTGAAATACAGAGAGGGGTGCACTTAGTGCATAGTGCACTATATAACAGAATCCTTTTAAAATATAGAACTTTTTTCACAATTAATGATTGTAATTTGAAAAGCACTATATATTAATCACTCTTTTATTGTTATTTTTACTATTATTAATTTTAAGCTCGAGTATTTTATGCCAAATTAGAAGAGCTAAAAAAAGATCTCTTTCAAAAAGAAATTCTTGGTAGAACTATTGCTAGCATTTATGTTATTGAATTTTAAAAAAGGGGTCTTCCACACTCTTATATCTTAATGATTTTACATCTGTCAGATAAACCAAAAAATTATAATAATTATGATACTATCATACATGCTGAATTACCAGATGCAAACACAGAACCAATATTGTATAGTAAAGTTATTTCTCATATAATCTATGGTACATGTGGTCCCTTTAATCTGTTTTCTCAATGCATGAAAAATAGAAAGTGTAAAAAACACTATCCAAAAGAATTTTTTACTATTATATCAAAAAATATAAATTCTTACCCACAATACTAGTGTAAAAAAGATAATCGATACATAATAATAAGAGAAAATAAACTTGCTAATCATTGGGTTATTATCTACAACTTTATCTTCTATTATGTTATGACTGTCACATTAACGTTGAAATTTGTTCAAACATTAAAGCTACTAAATACCTTTATAAATATATTCATAAAGGTTATAATAGGGCTACTATAGAAATTAGTTCTAATATGTCTTTACGAAAAAATCTAAATGTAGATAAAATTAGTCAGCATATAGAAGCTTGGTGGGTCTTCTCATCTGAAGCTTGCTGGAGAATTTTGAATTCTCTATATCCAATATGAAACCTTTAGTAATTCACCTTCTATATTATTTACCAAACAACTATATAGTTAACTTCTTAGAATCTACTAATTTAACTGAATTTCTTTCTATTAAAAATAACAAAAAAACTATGCTAACCAAATATTTTTATTTAAATACAACTGATCCCAAAGCACATAATTATACTTACTTTAAAATTCCATGTTACTATATATAGAATACACAAAATAAATAATGAACTAAATGAAAAAAAAGAACATGCTATTGGAAGATTTATACTGTTCAACTGAATGAAGGAGAAAGATTTTATTTTGCTTATTATTAAATCATATACGAGGTGCAACATCATTTAAAAATCTTAAATATATTGATGAATACTTATATCATACTTTTAAAGAAAGTGCTCAACATAGAAGTTTGTTAGAGGCTAACAAATTTCTTTATAAATACATGTCTAAGCCAAACAATTTTATTTGCCTTATACTTTATATAATTTTTTTCAACTATTTTAGTCTTTAGAGAACCTACTGATGTTTGAGAAATTTGGAATCAAAATTTTGATGCCATGTCTGAAGATTTTATTAAAAATGGCATACCAAGAGGGCAACTACTTTGCAGAACTTTTAAAAAAATAAAAATATAACAAAAATATATTAATTATATTTTAAAAATATTTATGCTAAC